GCTAGAACGACGCTGGCCGGAGCTGGGGCGTTGCCCTGTAACCTGCATTGGGCAGGGGTATGAGGCCTTGTAGAGAGATCTGGAGATTGCTGAGGGAGGAAGGCAATCTACTGACGAATCGGGGAGGCTGCCTTGAAGACCTATGGGGCAAGGAATAGTCTAGGGGGCGAGAACAGGTCAGCTATGCTAGACATTGGTGAGGAGGGCATAGTCTCTGTGATGTAAAGTCTTGGCTTAGGAAGGGCTAGAAGGGGCTCTAGGAGTAGGAGGTCAGTGATGCTGATATAACATTGTCTTTTGAATTTTAATTAAAATTATCATGAGCATAATCATCTTCATTATCATCATCATCATCGTTACAAGGCTATATTAAGCGTTCTGGTGTTCTGTTTTTTTGGGCAGCATCTTGCTTTCTTCTATACCGGGGATATTGGATTTAAGAGATGGTCGAACCTGGACCGATATCTCCAGAGTTGATCTTTTATGTGCTCCTGTTTTGCTGACGCCAGAACGACGCTGGCCGGAGCTGGGGCGTTTGTCCTGTAACCTGCAAAGGCAGGAGTGGGAGGCCTTGTAGAGAGATCTGGGGGTTGCCGAGGGAGGAAGGCAATCTAGTGGCGAATCGGGGGGGGCTGCTCGATGGCGAGGAGAGATCAGTTATGGGAGGCATTATTTAGGTTGGATTTGTCTTTGAGATACAATGTCAAGGTACAGAGAGAGCTAGCAGCCGCTGTAAGACTAGGAGGCTAGAATTGCTGATGTAGCATAGCTTCCTATAATTAATACAATTCTTATCATCATCAGCTACGTTGGCACTAGTATCATCACCATCAGTATGTTCATTATCATCGTAGTCACTACGGGAGGGACGCTGAGCCCAGTTCTCAGCAAGTTCGGTCCTGTTTCTCCGGGCAGACTGTGAGGACCCCGGCCTCATTCCTTTCATTGGTAATATCAGCCTTGGGCACTGGGCCCTTCAAAAAAAAAAAAAAAAAAAAAAAAAAGTCTCACACTCCCACTTCTGCTGGGTTACAGGGCAATGCAACTCACCCCAACTCCAACCAGCGTCGTCCCGACAGCATCCCTTGGTTGTCCCGTGGAAAGTCCCCCCCAAGACTTCCCCATATCTCTCTACCAGACCTCACGCTCTTGCATCGCAGGTTACAGGGCAACACCCCAGCACCGGTTAGCGTCATTCTGGCATCGAACAACCACAGATTACTGAGTATGACAGCGTTGGAACCACCTAGGAAGAGTTAGCAGGGACCCCAAAATCCTAAAAAACATTCCTAGGACCGCTAAGCACATTCGAAATTCTTTAGTATATTTATACGGGCGGGGGGGGCAAGACTAAAACTACCTACTATCCGAAATTCCCCCTTCCAACAGACAGAGCGTCGGTCCAGGCTTTCAGTCTCGTACCAGAACTCACTTGATCTCATACCTCCTTCTGCTAGGGTAATAGGGCACCACAACCCTCCCCAGTACCGATCAACCTAGTTCTGACGGACAGGAAGTGCCTTCCTCCCTCGACAATTCCCTTAGCGGCAAGCCCCTATACAGGTTACAGGGTCAATACCCCGGCGCCAACTATGTCGGACGATTTGGTTATGCCTTCCACCCTCGACATAACTTCCCAAGCCTCAAGCTCCCCCTGGGTTACAGAGCAGCGACTCCAGCACCGGCCTGTGTCGTCCCAACGTCGTCCTTCTAACCTACTTACCCCGCCAAACAACCCTTTCTGTTGAAAATCCCTTACTACCTTCCTTCTTTCGAATCTAGCTTCCCCCCCCTCGGCTCTATGTGTAGCCATCGAAGTCACTCCTTCCCTCAGAAACAAAATCCCAACACACTGCTGTAAGCAGCCACCCCCTTGCCTTCTCTCCCCACTCGTGCCCAAATCAATGGGACCCTTGCACCAGAGATCAGGCTGGAGCGATCGGTCTGCCAGGAGGACCCTATCGCTCCATTCCTCTTCCTTATTATTATGGAGGCGTTGTCCACGAACTTAAGAAAAAACAAGGATCGGGAGGATCAGAATCACCTGGATACCGGAGGAGGTAGTGCCAAGCTGCCCACTCTTTGAGGATGATCTCACGACAATAGTAGAGGCAAACAATCAGAACGTGGAGGAAATTTAATGTCTGATCTGATGGACAAGTTTTGTCTGTTGTCCGATATGGCCATTAATTGGGGCAAGAAAACATTGGGGTGCATGGGGTGGTGGATGCACCATCAGGGGGGAAGACTCCTCAAAACACCCAACATCGTGTGACTCCTGGACGATGCTCTATGAGAGTACTCAGAATATCATATGGCAAGCCCCTGAACGACGACTAGGTAGGAGGCCCCGCAGTAAGCAAACTAACCAAATGGAGAAACAAGCACACATCCCTATTTGGTAGGGCCCTACTTATAAACAATGCGGTACTTGCATCCTTGTGGTACAAGTCGCTACTTTGGTCCCTAAGCGAGGGGACCCTCAAGAACCTCAAAAGACAAGCAGCGGCCTTCTTGTGGAGGGGTGACAACGAAGACGTATGTTATCAGCCGGCGCGGGACTTGCTGATACAGCCCAAGGACAAGGGCGGTTAGGCATCATTGAGCCCCCCACACAAGTGCAAGCCCTGTCCCTGCAATGGATCAAGACGATTATATTCTCCACTCAAAGCCCTTGGAAACTCCTCACCTTCCGCCCCCTCCCATGATTGACCCCCTGACCTGGCTGGAAGATCGATTTTGGAGATCCCGCGTAAGGTACATGGGCAGGAGAAATGGGGGCGGGACAACTTCTGGTTGAGGCTCCTCAAAACCTAGAGGAAGCTCCCGCAGCCCCGCAACCCACCAAACCGTAAGGAGGAGGTACCCAGGCAACCACTATACGGAAATCGGTGGATCACAGACTCGCGAGGAAAGGTGATGTGCAGCTCGGATTTCCCTTGGAAAGGGTGGGTGAGACATGGATGCGTGAGGGTGGGGGACCTTTGGGACGCTGAAGAAAGACAGTGGAAGACTGAGGAACAGATCCGGGGTGAGCTACAGTTCTGCCACCACACCACCTCTGCGATGGAGACACAAATCAATGTGCTCCCCCTTGACTGGTACATCACCCTCCAAAGAGGCCCGACTTTTGAGGAAGGGGACTGGATAGCAAAGACAGGGGAGACAGACAGGATCAGAATGATCCGGACATGCTACACCCGGGAGACGTTCTGGTGAATATTAGGCAGTGGGCAAGGACAGCAGACTAAGGGGCAGCCATAACCCTTCGTGTGGATAAGCAAGGAGCAGATATATCGATTATTGGTGCTCGGCAAGAGGGAGGAACGGGTAGCCTTCCAGCCAGGCACCCCGATCTCCAGCCAGGACCGGCGGGACTCAAAATGGGAGTCCTCTCGGCAAGCTGCACCCGACCCGCAAAAAGCGAGATACCTCCACACACTGCAGGTAATAACAACTTTCCGAATGCTCATAATTAATTGAAACCTGCGGGACATACTCAATGACAGGTGGAGAGAAGGCAGCTTAACCTCGATGCCGCCCTCCTTCACCCTATCAAGTGGTTTCAGGACAGGGAAAACAAACCTGCCAAAGTCTCCTCTTTGCAATGGCTGATTGCAGACTGCTGCCTCCCAACAAACTGGCTCAGTGATCAGTCTAGCTTGGAACAGAAAGGCCTTGCACTGCCCTGGTGCACATGGTCCCTCCAAAGCTTCCTCTCACGAAAAATTGCAGAAACTGTAGAGCATGTGTTTCACCAGTGGCTGAGACAGTTTTGCTTCGGGGATGGTGGACAGAATATGGAGGAGAACGGTGGACAGTCTGGGCTGGCCATGGGACTGGCGAGCGATTCTGACGGGGTACAGACAGACAGTTTCACTGAGAATACGTTCAAATTGGGGAGGCGGGCCATCTTGTGGGATATGGCAGCAAAGATGCGTCCCGGCCATAGAGGGCGCCAGGCTGGAGGAGGGAGAGCTTACAGAACAAATCAAATCACAAATCCGAATTGCTATCACTCAACAATTGCAGATAACCACAACGAACCAGTTCGGAAGGGGATCGGGGAGTATGGATAGCAGTAGGATATCAAACAAATCAAATAACAAATCCGAATAGATCTATTCAACATGCAATAGGACATCAAACAAAGCATAACTCAGTTTTGCAGCGACTGGCTGGAAGGGGATTGGGGAGGATGGATAGCATTGGTAGCCTGGGAGGGCGAGGGTGCAGAAGATCAACAGGTAGCCGAACCACCTAGTAGGATCGGCAGAGACTACAGACTTACCTTCAACAACTGGGCAAAGGTGGAACCGAGCTTCCCTCTCGGACCAGCAGCAGAATTCCCGGATCTTTTCCCACCCTTTTTTTTTTTTTTTTTTTTAAACAAACCGCTTCTCGACAGTTAGAAGTGATGGTGTAAGCATCCACTCCTACCTATCTTACGGGAGCTCCAATCTATTGGTGGGGAGCTTGCACCTGCTGGTCCAGCGTCCCTTTTGATACAAACATAGCAATTGAGTCATGGCTGCAAGCCGGGTGCAGCTATGGTCTCTCACTTGTAGAAATGCAATGATACGGGGCTTGACTCCAGAGATTCACGGGAGGGGTGCTCTGGTGCCTCCCAGAGCAGCCGTTCCAACGATATCCTGGCAATTCCCTTGGATACACGTGCCATGGACGGATGACTCTGGTGCCCCCCAGAGGAGCTCTCCCCTCGTGGCCGCAGGATTGCCACCCTAGGTCACACTTGTCTCAGCCGAAATCGGGTAAAGGCCCCTGCCATTATATCCTATGTGTACTATATGGGACGCTGGACCCGGTTTCCAGCAGGTGTAGCTCCCCACCAATAGAGAGGAGCCATGTGGTGGCGGTGCTACCCGGGGCTGTTTGTATCAACCAGCGTGGCACCGCCAGCAGATGTTTTAAGAAAAAAAGAACAAAACTGAAAGGGCCTTTTTCACCCAATGTAGGCCTCAGGCCTTGTAACTAAGCAACGTGGGCCATGTAAAAGTAAAGCAGCCTGAAAAGGTATCTCGCCAGGGCTCAGAAACGTGAAAAGCAGGTCAAGAGTCCAAGTTCTTTACCAACGGGCACATCCTGAAGCAAAGGGCATTGTCAAAAGACTTACCTGTTCGCCAGCAGTTGTGTAGGTCATGAATAAGGTGTGTCTGTACGAGTAGCCATTGTGCCTGTTCGTGAACAGAGGAAAGGT